GCCTGTAGACATTTAGGCATTTCTGCATGTAGACATACTTGCATTAGGCTTTTTTCATGTAGACTAGCGCAATGTGTAGACATTTATTTCAAGAGTATCCGGACACGTCCAAAACGGTGTTATGGTGTAGCTGTTTTTTTTTCATGGAAGGGGATAGCACCCTGTGTTGTTTTATGTGGCACTATCAAGGCACAGGTCTACGTTGATGTTATAAACACCTTGATTCCCACTGTTCAACAGCAATTTGGGGATGGCGATTGCATCTTTCAACACAATTGATCACCTGCTTATACTGCACGGGCTGTTGCGGAGCGGATACACAACAATAACCACCCTGTAACGAACTGGCCTGCATAGAGCCCCGACTTGAATCCTATCCATAATCTCTGGGGTGTTTTGGAATGCTGACTTCGCGCCTGGCCTCACCGACTTACATCGAAACCTTTCCTCAGTGCAGCTCTCCGTGAGGAATTGGCTGTTATTCCCCAAGAAACCTTCCAGCATCTAATTGAAAGTATGCCTGCGAGAGTAGAACCTACTAACATTGGCAACTCACATAATATTGATCTATTAATATGTTTATCATTTCTTTGCCCTATACTGGATTGTTTATCTTCTTGATTCTATTTCCATTTACTTATGGGTTTCATTATACAACATGCTGTCTTCTTACCTATCATATGTGGACCTGCAATCTATACAGAATTGCGATCTCCAGAAGTTCCGTTAATTAAAAAATGGTTATTTTGAATTGATGGTAACTAGTTATAAATTATCGCTATCTTTTTCCAATAAATAATTTAACATATATTTAACAAAGCTGATTCACGCTTTTCAATGAGCTCATGAATTGATCTGATGTTAATAATATATATATAACAAAATTTCGTTTTGTTGCCGAGACGTTACAGCTGGTGGTGGGACAATACCAGAAAGCTAGCCAGGACTAAAAATATTAGAAAACTATTTAGTGAAAGAGGGCCTGTACCATTAATGTGGGTCAATAATATCTGAATTACGTCGCGCTCAGCAATGTGTCTGTCATCCTCGTTGAGTCGTGGCGAGTAAGTAGAGAAGTGACGTACTGCGGAGTCAGATGTGCCCAACATGAGCACATGAGGCTGCACGCAGGCAAAGCGATACGCCGCGCCCCCCCCCCCACTCCCACCCGCTGCTTTTACTGCTCCATTACGGTTCCAACAAAGCGTCGTTACCTCGTCTATACGCGATCGTCTGCTTCTGGCCTCCCAACCGGCAGCGCGGGCTCCCCATCGCTTCACGCTCAATGCACGACGCGTTTCGTCACGATTGCAGCTGCACCAACCGGAACGCTGCAAACTGGACATCCAGACGAACGTTATGCTAGGAAAACAGGAAACGTGTATAATATATTGAGCGTGCACTTCCGTGAATTCAAGAGGAGAACTGGTTCCCCAGGGTGTCCATTTAGCAAATTCGGAGGACACACTAAGATAATCTATGTGTATGTTATTACATTCCAACGCGGACAACAATTAAAAGAATACTATGCAGCCTCTAGTCTGTGGGAGTTGTCTACTGTTTTGTTAGATGCCCAAGAACTCTGGAAAATATAAAATAATATATTCAGCTTCGATTGTGAACGAAAAAAGCACATCTGATTTTGGTAGATCTCATTTTCTCATACTGCGCCTACCGACTGAATTCTCATATTCAGTGCGTCACTGCTTACGACACCGATGATGGCATGCAACAGTAAGCCTCCAAGGAAGTGGCTACTTGCCATTATATATTCGTTAATCACTTGTATCGTTATGGAACAGAAACTTTTTTATATTCTTAGTATGGAAAGAATTGTTGGACTGTGTATCCGTAAATACTCTATTTGTGCTGTTATTGTAATATTTGTGAAGGCTGTTTTCTTAAAATATTTAATTTGTTGCGATGCTACTCGAAAGTATTTCATTTGTTTTTCTTGATCAATCTGCGTGCTACATTTTGAAAATTATAATTGCCTGATAATTGTCTGAGTTTTCGATCTGCAATATTTGTATATTTGCATCTCTGTGTTTAGCACTGAATGTTCAATCGCGTATGTTTCTGTTGATAAATTTGTGATGGGAATTTTTCGTTAGCAGGCGTGTGTTTTGTTTGGATAGTGAAATCGTAGGATTTATCTATTACAGGGATTCATAAACTTTGCTTTTCATCGACCCCTTTTAAAAGAATTGTTTGCACCATCGATCCCCTTACCTTATTCTCTATAACATACAGCATACATAACATTAATACAAAGAGTTGCACAAAAGTATCTCAACGACTTACATTTTGTTGACCAATGTTTGGAAAAATATCTAGATTTTCATTAATCGAAAACTGTTCCGCTTGTGAGAAGCTGTGTTACTAATTGTCGTTGTGCAATAGTTACATCATGTTGAGCGGTCTTTTAACTTACCATAACATTTCTCCCGCGCCTATTAGAGGGAGTGTTTTGTTCTACGATTTAGTATAATGAATATACAGTTATAAAATTTTGAGTATTCTAAACATCTAAGCAGTCACGCAGGTGAGTTCTCAGATATCCCAATGTAGAAAATGGAAAGGGATCTGCAATAAAGGTGCATCTGCAAGAAATCTGCAATAAACGTGAAATTAGTTTTATATCTAATTGGTAAAAAATATGGATAAGAAATTGAGAAAATAAGCAAGGAATGATATTCATGTAATGTTTTGCCGGAATCCGTCCGAGGGGTCCTTATTCAGAGCCCTTAACGTCGGGAGACTGATACGGAGCACCGTTGGCACCAACCTAGCTACGCCCCTGATGCTATCAATGAATGATTGAGAGGAAAGAGAAGCCAATCTGTAATTTATTATTATTATTATTATTATTATTATTATTATTATTATTATTATTATTATTATTATTACTTCGATTAGATATAATTTTGATATACTCCAGGAGGGAGTGATGAAAGTTAATCATCCCAAGGACAACTTCAATGCGGTAAGAAACTCGAGTCAATGCCGAGTTAATGGTTAAATGTATCAATATTGATGCGTTATATTACTGGGCGGAAAATAATGGAATGACCATAAATAGTTCTAAAAGCAAATACATCACTTTCAGGGGTCATAATTACAAAGAAACAAAATACTGTTTAAATAACGACAATATTCCGAGAATATCTTCGTGCAAGTACATAGAAATTCATTTATATAGTAAATTAAGCTGGAAAAGTCACGTAGATATTGTTGTAAGTAAAGCCTGGAGAGCACTTCACTTTGTAATAAGCATCTTAAAAAAGTACGGCAAATGCGAACAAAATTGCTTATTTATCGCTTATTTGTCCGATAAATTAATTCGTCCGATATGGAACAATTTATTAGGATACGCACATAATTATGTAGTGTAAAAAATTAGAAAGAATTCAGCGTAGGGCAGCTAAATTTACTTCCAGGGACGAGAAAATGGCAGTGTGGGATTCAATCGAAAACATGCGATTATTATGCAAGGGTCTGCGCTTTGTATAACGCTTATAGCGGTCCAGATTGGAAATAAATTAATCCGCGGCTAAGTATTCCTACATACATCAGTGGAGGGGATCACAGGCACAAAATAAATTTAAGACTGCGGAGGACGGATGTCCGGAAATTATCATTCACAGATCGAACTATAACGGAATGGAATATATTGCCTCAAAAGACTTTTAAACCTTTTCCTCAAAGGAATCAACAGTTTAGGAGATTAGTTTAGGGTCTTATTAAGTAAATGAAGGACTTCTCTAAGAATAGAAGGTTCTATAGTGATGCATAAGCGTTATATTGTGAAGCGAGGTGTCGTGCAGTGCAGAGCAGAGAAATAACGAAGGAAATGATTTAAGGGTCATGGTGAAGTGATGTGAAAAGTAGTGCAATGCTGTGCAGTAGGGTCTTAATTGTACAAATATTATAAATTAAATTGTACAAAATTCAGTGCAAAGTTAGATTTCAGAAGTTTTTTTTTCATATTGTAACTTAAAGTTTTATGAATCAGTCAGGTATTGTATTATTATAATTATACCACTATTTTTATTATTGTACCATTAGTATTATTATTGTACATTATTACTATTATTATTATTATATAACTTTATGTTAGTTATATGGTCTCATTTTTATGTAATTAGCTGCCACCGGGTTAGACCCAATTGCAGTTTAAATAAATGTATCTTATCTTACACATTATGAAGGTAGAAATATGGATCGTTCGTTTTCGATGGAGATCATTACTGTTAAACGCTTTATCACCACATAAAATTTTATTCGAGTGATACCACAGTATCTAAACTTCAGCGTCTGAAACTCCGATTCAGAAAACAAGATTGTACATTTGGCTGAAAACTTTCGAACTTGGTGACAAGATTGTCCAAATGAGCGTTCAATTAGGAAAAAATATGTATAATATTAGTCTTAATTGAACATTCAAATGTGAAAGAGTTTGAAGTGGAGTATTAATTTGAAGACATTTGGTTAATGATATGTAAATCACACTTCGTGCGTGTTCATAGTTTTATGAGTCCTGAAAGTGTAAATTTACAGTACATTTTATGCGACTAAATACGTTTCTTCACCAACATGAACAAAAGGAAAAAGCTTATTTTGCGTTTAATCCCTTTTAAAATGATGTGTCACATTTTATATCGCCCGACCTCGACAATTATTGTGATTTATAATCTACTGCCAAACTAATAATGTTGCGAAACGAAATAATACAATCGACAAGAATATAACGTAAAACGAAAAAAAGGAAGATTTAAAATCTTCACAAAAAGCCGTGAAGTGGTAGAATCATATCAGGACATTTGCAACGAGTTGTAAGTGTAACATAGTACGTCGCTATCAACAAACAATACAGTTGATTTGTTTTCTACCAAATCAGATGTATGTGATCGTGTAATTGAAATTATGCAAAATAATTTATTTTAAACTTACTATCACATTGTTTTGACTTATCTGAGCCGAGCTACACAGGGCCCAAAATGAGAATTCGTGCCGTTGGTCCTCACCCGCGGATTTAAACGTGGCGCCGCGGTGACGTCACGATCTTACGGGCGCGGCAGTCAAGGGAGGTGGAACCGCCGCGGGCCAACAAGAAAATGATGACACCCAGATAAGCGATTGTGAATGGCCGTTGGTCGAAAGGCCGAAAACGAGGGAAGCAGCGGGCGGACGGAATCACAATATATATATACGGTATAACGTTGTTTGTATCACAATACATATACGGTATAACGGTGTTTGTTGGAGTGAAACGTGGTGCAACCACATTCTGCTTCCAAGGTTCATGGAGTGATGGTCGTCAGCTGACGCGAGGTTTCCGGGGTGTCGACGCTTAGAAGGCGACGCCAGCGATGCCACCAATGACATACGCAGGAGCGTGAGTACCCGTGCAGCCCAAGGCAGAAGCAATAAGCAAACGTGTAAATAAATTTAACGACCACGCTAGTATGTCACAAACCAGAAACTTTAACAAAGCCATTAGTGAGCGATTCAATTCCATAGAGGCAAAAGCCAATTGAAAAGGGCTATGACCTCGTTTATAAATTTCAAGATTGCGTCTCACGATAATTAGAAATTAATAATGAGGGCATAAATATATTTAATTTCCTGATCAATTAAGAGGGTAATCTTAGACCAAAGTTATTAAGTTTAGGGTTCTTCAGATGTTTCACTGGTTGGTAGCATAGAAACATACTGTAATTGTGAAGAAAATTTAGAACAAGTTTAAAAGTAATAATTATTTATTTGGCGTAAACATCTAGCGTCACTTGTCGACACGTGATCTGTGCGCTTACCTGTTTCATACTTCTCAGCGTTACGTTATTGTGTATATTTTGTGTGTGTGGAGAATATATGCTTTTCATGTCTCAAGAAATTCAAGCTGTGATTGCATCATTTTGTCTTCAACTTGCCCATGTTCTCGCAAATCCGTAAACCCAAGTGGAACATTTGGAACGAGCCCAGATTGAACCAACTCTACAGGCTGAGAGTGAATCGGCGGTAAACCGTTGGGCACTCGAGGTAACTCCCACGCTGAGCAGCGTCACTTAGGGTAGACGACCCCTGATCGGAAGAGTTAAATGCCCGGCGCACCGCGACAATTTTGACTGAGTATTCGGTTGCGTGGTATGTTAGTGTTGTATTTGTATATATTACTCGCGCAAGTTTTCTTGTTACACGAGCTCTCTAGTCCCCACCCAGCGCTGAATAGCACGGCACGTTGACGTACTTAAGTTCGACTCGGAACGGCTCGTACAAGTTTACAATGCTGGCAACAACCACCTCGTACTTTCAAAACAATCGTAACATTTCTCGTGGCACACTTAGGTGAGTAAGTTCATGCCCACAGTTCGTACACCGTTTTTAAGCCGTGACGTAGCCAGAGCCCTCCTCTCCCCGCACCCCCCGCTGAGGAAAATCAAGAAAACTTGGGCGTATAGTACATATATACACATTTATTTGTTTGGTTTGGCGAAACGAAAATTGATATTGTGTATCTGCTGTACAAATGCACGGATTTACATACAAACACAGTGGCTGATTTCCTACGTTTTTGTGGAAACAAGCAAATATACAAATATTTATCAAATCAACGGAGATTGTGAAATGTTCTTACTAATCCACTGGCAACGAAGTGAGCTCTAATAAGCATGGTGCTGGAATTTGTAGAATAAAATGTCGTTTGATAGACGCGATCGATAGTGTTACGTTGCAAGCGTGAAAGATCGTCTCTTGCATGCATACTCCTTATATTGCCCAGGAAATTCCTCTCACGGCGACTGCCGAGGCATGAACGACTCACATGGCGTGAGTAAAAGTGCTAGGTGTGTGTGCCCATTGTCTCTCTGCAGGTAACAGTTCCAACCAGTTTACGTTGACACATGTGGAACCATACGTTTTTTATTTGCAAAGAACAGGCTGTTCTGCCTACCGTTGCTGTCTTTGAAAAACAATACGGCGTCTGAATATTCATCCGGAAGGCAATTAAATGTTTTATCATATTATTTAGTACTTCTGGTACAGCATTAATAGATCCACTTCAAATTGCATTTTATGTGACAATTTTTATGTCTATGCATAATTAATGTATAATAAACGTAATAATGATTGGTAATAAATTAAGAGTATCAGTCGCTTCAGGAATGTTTAGAGATTTTGTTCATGCATTACTTAAACACTATATATCACCTATTTTATAATCTCGACGACAGAAAATAATTTACCTAGTAAAACGTCATTAATGTACAAGAATACTTCTGCTGTTCTTTCTCGTACGACAGCTCTGCTTTCCAGTACGGACTCAGGTCTGTTATTCGCGTACTTGCAGTACCAGAACTCTAATGAGCATGGTGAATTGACCACATGGGGACGTGAAATCAGTTGTCAAGTTTTTCAGTGGCCCATTGTTTTAATATCCAGCATCCACTTGGAGTGAGTGAGTGAGTATTCAAACCATCTACCCAACTTCTTAGGTTACCATGGTCTACAAAAAATACTTTTGTCTCTAACAATAATAAAACACACTATTTCTAAAAGTTAATTCGCTTCTAAATCCAGATCTAATTTTAGAATTTCTGTATCGGCCTCAGTTTTCACGTGATAATTTTTGTAATTGCGTATGTCTCCCTATGTATTTTATCTGGCAAAATGACACGCTCTAATAACAGACTTTCATGTATACAGGAAGAAATTAATCAAAGTATGTGTTACAAAAAGTGAAGAGGAGGTTTAGAATGTTTCACAGTAGGATTGAAATGCGGTGTCTGCATGGATATCTCGTCCTCTGCCTTCTGAATGATCGTCAGTGAAGCATTCATCTTCATTCACTGCCACGTTCTCGGGAGTAGTGGTACAGGAAATTCTTCACTGTGCTTTACAAACATTATAGCAGATGGTAAATTAGAATATTACACCGTTTTCTTCGTTTTTGAAGTGATTCCAGCTAGTTTTGTCTGACAGAAATAAGTATTTTATGAGATACGCTGGTTCTCTCCAAATCAGGGGAACAGAAAAGGGCATGTGTCGTGAACCTTTTACTTAGCCTATCAGGAGTGTAACACCCGACACACAGCACATATGGAATGCCCATTTCTTGCCCTGGCCACCTACCTGAGAGCCGAAATAAAGTTCATAATATTTCCTTTTTAGAGAATTAAGGTTCTGTATTTGCGATTTCAGAGTTAATTCTCCACAGATATAGCATGACGCATTTGGGCTATTTACACTTCTTCTGAATTAATACAAAGCAAAAATCTTCATGAACATAGAACAACAAGCAGTCTCATCCACGCCGCTTTCCAAACTTTCAGATATTTCAATGATGGGACGCAACTGGCAATAAAAACAACGCTATTCTATCTGTTCGAGCATGACTTAACAGTAATTCCCAAATATTGTTCATTTCCTAAAGGTGAATTTTGTGCATTCAGTGTCATTTATAGGAATTCCTTGTACACATTTCCATTGCTCCTAAACAATTAAATGTGCAGAATTGTTAAACGAAGCTACATAAAAGTAACAAATATGTTGCGTTTTCAAGAATTTTATAAATATAGAGTAGTGTGTAACAAAAAAACTAGCCCCGATGGGCAAAAACTGATTTCATATTAGAATTCAGTGCCCAAATCTTAGTCAAGAGCACCATTGATTTTATTTGTTACAAAAATGCTGTTGACCAGTGTTATTATTCCCGTAAGAGTAGCACCTGTTACATCTATAGATGTGGCGGTGTTCCTCTCCCGCTGCAGCGTGAGAGGGGCGTGAAGGGGACAAGGACGAGGAAGAAGAGTTCACGCACGGTACGTGACAGGTTGTGAGAATATAGCTTCGGCATTCGTCTGGTATTGCCAGGAAAAACACAGAAAACTACCCAAGAGAGCACTATCACGGCACAGGCATACGTTGATGTTTTAAACACCATCTTGCTTCCCACTGTTGAACAGCAATTCGGGGATGGCGATTGCATCTTTCAACACAATTGAGCACTTGTTCATACTCATCAACCCTGGATATGGCGGATTGGTTACATGGCGATAACATCCCTGAAAAGGACTGGCCTGCATAGTGTCCCGACTTGAATCCTATCGAACACCTTTGGGATGATTTGGAACGACAACTTCTTGCCAGACCTCACCGACCTTCAACTATACCTCTCCTCAGCGTAGCATTCCGAGAAGAACGGGCTGCCATTAACGAAGAAATCTTCCAGTACCTGATTGAAAGAATGCTTACGAGAGTAGAACCTGACATCAAGGGTAAGGGTGGGCAAACACCCTATTGAATTTCCGCATTACGGATTGAGGGCGTCACGAAAAGGTAAGTCATTTTCCGGATACTTTTGATCATATAGTGTATGTATCGAAAAATTCATTATCACCGGTACTCGAAACCTATGACATCCCGTCCAACGATGCTGCGGAGTAAACTGTGTTGCCGTTGAGCTATCCCAGCCATATCCACCAGGAAACGGATGGAGAAAATCAGCCAGTGTAGTGTATACATAAGAAGTGATTAAATTTGCGTAGAAATGACGTGCACGTTGGCCTACCAACGCCCTTCTTTGTGTGTCAGGTCAGATATGCCATACTCAGTCGGTTAAGACGTCAAATGACGCGGAAACGTGCTATCAGGTGCCAGAATGCTTGCCAAAGGGCGCACTATCATCATCTGAGTGAGATCAATCTCCGGGAAGCGGGTTTGTCGTAGCTGACAAAAACCAAAATTATAACTTTGTAGTTGGAATATGAAACTTAAATGGTAATATTCCCAAATGTCGAAACTATCGTAAAATAGCTTGTTTAAGCCTCAATTGAGAGGTGGGTTGGAAGACCTTACTTCAGCAACTTCGAGATCCCTTAGTGACGTTCGGAGCCCCGTTGAAGGCGGTCCTTGTAGATGTCTAGAGACTCAACCTACGAAGATTTTGCAGCATGTGGCTAATTCCACGGAGCATGCATAACACATTCAACATTTATAAATAACCGTTTCTTTATTTTACTAAGTATTAGTAGACCAATCTATTTCTCATGACGTTCTAAAGATGGAACGTTTAGTTTGCAATGGATTATAAAAAAAAGATCAAACATGATGTCTCTATTTTTTGATATCCTGTAGATATCCCGAATATCTGTTTTCATAGGTCTATAAATATATTTTGCTCCTTTTTGCGGTTTTTGTAGAAAAGTTTATTTTTCTCAGGGTCTGCACACCGAGTAAGGCAAAGAGAGCCGCTGCATCGAGCTACTGCATCGGACAGGCGGTTGCTGTAAGCGCGGACGAAGGAGACAGTGGAGAAGCTTCACGAGCATGTTTGTCACGAACAGTTCTGGGGTGGTGACAGAAGATCTCAAGAAAGCGCTAGCAGCAAGTAGGCATTTTTTTGTCTACATATCATGCAATAGTGTACGGTATGT